CTCACTGCATTCCTGGCACAAAGAACTGACAAGTATCCGGGAGCAGCTGTCTTTTGTCAAAACAAGCATGGAAATGCTTGGCTGCGTAATAATTTCTCCGCTTCCTTGCCAGCTTAATTTTTCTAAAATCTCTTTTCTGCATAGACATCCCTCCCTCTCCTCCTACTAGAAATACTCGTGTTGTGGATGGTGTTTAATATAGTATACTCTCTTGCCCTTCATCTTATTAAAGGGGGGGAAAAAAACGAACTGGGAGAAGAATAACTTTATTAGCTCACTAAAATATCATTGGTCTGTTTCCTTGGACAGTGGCTAAATTGTCAAACAGTTTGCTCATTCCTTCATCACCTGAAGTGTGTTCCGTCTAACCCTGAAGGAGAGCTCTTGCCATGTTAATGGCATTTTAATAATAATTGCATGTGGTCAAGTCAATTTTTACTTACGGCAACCCTTTCCAGAGTTTTCTAGGTAGAGATTACTGAGAAGTGTTTTACCATTCCCTTCTTCTCATGGCATCTCTAGAACTGTGCAGATTGCCCATGGATAATTAAAAAAACCTCTGAATTTTCTATCTTTTACTGATGGATCACATGGCTACATTCTGTTGTTGTTGTTGTTGTTGTTGTTGTTGTTGTTTTAATGCATAACAACACTAGGAATGATAAGCAGCACTGGTGGCCTGTTCCCAAGGGCCTCATCCAGAGCAGGGCTGAAAAGGTGAGCCAAGAAATAGATGAGGTGATTATAAGGTATTAGCTGGCAGAGCAGTGGGTGCTGAGTAGCAGTCCTGCCCACCTTATCTTAGCTTGCAAAAATAAAGAAGCATTTTCTCTCTGCTCTGTGAAGATACCAGAGTAAAAAAAAAATGTATATTTTGCACATTCACTCAAAATGTACAGATATGGCACACATGTCACTGGTATTGGCCCAGCACTGTTCTCATTTTGCAAAGCTAGAGTGAGATTAACTGGTCTAAGAGTCAGCTTCTGATATTTCTTCAGTGACACACTGGAGTTTCAACATTGTGAGTGGGATAAATGAAATTTCTTTCTTATGTGCACAGCTGCTGCATCATACTAGGAGGCTTGCCCATAGCTATTCCTTTTGTCAAACAAGGGAATTGTCCAGCATACCACCAGTGAAGCAGAGACAAAGTGTACTGTACTGACTCCTTTTGAAGTACATCACAAATGTGATGACATCCTAAGAAGGATGATTCCTCCAAAATGTACTTTCAGTCAGACTAATCATCAGATTAGAAGTCTAAATTTGTTTTTTTTTCCTCCTACACATCTTTTAGTCCCCTTCTCCCTTTCCTCTTAGATTTTCAGTTCTTTGCTATTTATAGTGGGAATGATCAAGGAATTTGATCTTGCCAAGCTGTGATGTGAAATGACCTGATTCACATTTTTTTCCTAATAATGTATAGATCAAAACAAAATTATCCTTTGAATAATGCACTTTGCTGAAATGTTCAGGTCCTGGATCAAAAACTATATGAAACTTAGCTAAAATATATATTTTATGGTAAAACCCATTTAGAAATATGTACAGTACATTTAGATAATATGTTTATAAATATATGGTCCTAAACACACAAAAGGAGAGAGAGAGAGAGAGAGAGAGAGAGAGTATCCCTAAAAAAACCCACAAGTTTGAGTTTGCAATAGTTAAGCAGAGCTGTAAAGGACAGAACATTTTGGAGACTGCTCATTCATCAGGTCCAGGGTGATATGATGGGATATCATAACATACAATAACATTAAGGAAGTGACTGCCCATTTTTCCTTGGTGTGGGGGAAAGTTTTCTGTGTTGAAAATATAATAGTGTTTCCAATGTTTCTAAAACTACAATTAATATTACTTTTCATTTTTTATTTGTTTACATGTTATATTTTAGGAGTTTTTTTCCACATTCGTTCAAAAAAGTAATGAATGTGATGTTAGAGTAGTAATTTTAACATGATATTTCTGAACTCTGTAAATGTCACAAAATAGATGTATTAAATGAAAACGCATGAAATTGATATGGGCTAGAAGTAGACTGTTCCATGCTTTTTTTATACAATATGTATATCTTTGTGTTTCTTTTCTTTTCTCTAAATGTGAAACATGTAAGATAATGGGACACTAGTTAACAAGTTATCATTTGTATCTCTGGTCTTGTTCCAGTCATATGAGTTGGTATCCATTGAGGGATATAAGTAGCAACTTATTAACTAGCAATAATTTGCTGCTGCAGTTTATATTATTGTATCTGTGCCGACATAGCAAATCAATAGGATTTTTGGCCAAAACCTTGAGAAAACTCTTGAAACCCCTTTCAAGAAATCTTGTCTTCTGGATCTTTTTTTTCCACCTCCCTTTGTTTTAGTAGACAAACACTAAATTGAATGCTTCAAATGGTGGTGAATGTCTGTTGGTGATCATCTTCAGATATCAGGTGCCTTCAAAAACAACTGTTCTAAAACCCTAGAAGAAACTCTGGGAATGACCTTATCTGTTTGGTTTTTTTGGGGGGGGAGGGTTGGTTTACGTGGAATAGTGCTAAGCTGAAAGCTACTAGTGGAAAATTTCTTGCTACCTGAACTCCAGCACCAGTACAAAGTGAAACAAACAAAATCTCACCTATAGGGAATTGTTTTAAAATGCAAAGGAAAAAGGAAATGCAAAAGAAAGGGATATCTGTTACATTTTGCCACCGTGTATTGCTTGCCTCAATTTGGATGGTAGGACAAAATAGTGGTATCATTGGAGCACAAAATGGAAAACAAAAGTTGTGTCTGGATGACCTTTAGTAGACTGAGATACAAAAATGATTAAAGACTATGGGAGAAGTTGGAGAAGTTTCCTTCTACAGTGAAATATACAGTGAATAATCAAATAGCTGTCAGCATCGCGGCTAACCTCTACCAATCTAAGGTGAAGGCTGCTAGTCAATCTTGCTTCACTGTCCGGATAAGCAAAGCCTCCAACTAGTAGGTGGAACTTTTCCGTATAGTTCACAATCTATCCGGAGTTGGTCATAGTGACTGGCCTCCCACTAGCATCTCACCTGACCAATTTGCAGCCTTTTTAAAATCAAAAGTGGAGGCCATCCGCCGGGATCTTACCCCCTATTTGAAAACAGTGGATCAGGTGGAGATGTCCAGTGCTCCAGTGCTCTGTCTTGCCCAATGGGACTTAACCACTTTCTGCCTGTGATGTCAGACATGGTGGACAGAGTGCTTAACTGCTATTGTGCCTCCTCCTCCTCCCTTGACCCTTGCCCGGCCTGGCTAATCAAAGCAGCCAGGCCTATAACATCTGAATGGGCTACAACAATAATTAAAGGGTCTCTCCAGTAGGGCAAGCAGAACCTTATGGAGACACTCATTAGGCCCATTAGGAAGAAAGTGAGCTTTGCGGCAGACGATGTTGCTAATTATAGACCTGTCACCAATGCTTTGCTCAGCAAGGTAGTTGAGAGAGTGGTGGCCGATCAGGTGCAGGCTCTTCTGGATGAAACCAATGCCCTGGATCCATTCCAGTTGGGCTTCAGGCCATGCCATGGCACAGTAACAGCACTGGTCACCCTGTTTGATGACCTACTGAGGGAGGCTCTGCTGGTTCTCCTTGATATCTCAGCTACCTTTGATACCGTTGACCATGGTATTCTCCTGGGGAGGCTCTCTGAGTTCAGAATCGGTGGCCTGGCTCTTGCCTGGCTCTGTTCCTTCTTGGAGGTCTGTCCCCAGAGAGTGCTGATTGGAGAGCGTTTCTTGGCCCATGGAGCCTCAATCATGGGGTTTGGCAGGGCTTGATTATCTCTCCAATGCTGTTTAACATCTACATCTGTTGTACATCTGGACATGGCACTCACCATGGAGACTCAGGTGTAATCAGTGGTCAATTCAGCACATTTCCACCTTTGGCAGATTGCCCAGCTGCGTCCCTATCTTGATGTGGGGGTGCTCACCTCTTTGGTCCATGCGGTCATAGTCTCAAGATTAGACTACTGTAATGTGCTCTATATGGGGCTGCCTTTGAGACTGACACAGAAATGTCAGATGGTACAAAATGCGGCGGCCAGACTTCTTACAGAGGTGAAAAGGTACCAACATATTTTCTCCATGCTGGCCACCTTGCATTGGCTGCTCGTTCATTTCTGCATTGATTTCAAAGTTTTTATGATTACATATAAAGCACTAAACAGTTCAGGACCTTGATATCTGGCAGAGCGCCTTTTCCCACCCAGTTCTGCCAGAGTCACTTGTTCCAGCCAGGCCGGGCGGCTGAGGGGCCTAACGCTGAGGGTGGTCCAGAGGGAAAGGATGAGGAACCGGGCCTTCTCGGCAGTGGCCCCTCGTCTTTGGAACAACTTGCCAGTGGAGATCCGCCTGGCTCCCTCTCTGGGTGTTTTCAAAAATAGACTTAAAACCTGGCTATTTGGGCAGGCTTTTCCTCCTGCCATGTCTTAATTTATTATACTTTGTCATCTTGGACGTATAATATATGTCTTTGGTTTTATTGTTTTTAAATTTGTAAACCGCCCAGAGTAGACCTTTGGTCTGGATGGGCGGGATAGAAATCCAATCAATCAATGAATCAATCAATCAAGCAAGCAAGCAAGCAAGCAAGCAAGCAAGCAAGCAAGCAAGCAAGCAATCAAACAATCAAGCAATCAAGCAATCAATCAAATAGTAAAACTGTGTAAGAAAGTTATAATTTTATTGGGACTGCAGGTTTTTACTTTAGCAATTTTAAGAAGAAAATGGCGTTTAGGGGCATATTTTCTGCTTGCCATCTTATATTTTCAGTATATATTTTTCCAGTCATATTAAAGTATTGCACATTTTCTAGTTTTAAAACCCCCCACATCTATTCATTTGATGTTTCTGTGTGACAAGGATTCTACCTTTTAAGTAAAGTGTAAAACAAAATCCCAAATAGTGATAAACCATTGACAGCTCAGTGGGATAGAGACACTTTCTAGAGCTTTTTACCTGTTTTTTCCCCAGTTGCAGATAAAGGCAAAGAATCAAAGAGGACCTCCTGCCCACCAACTCTGATTTTACATACTGAAATGAAAAATAAGCCAACAGAGAGTGATGACGAGAAGGTTTGTTAGTCATTATTTTATTCGCATCTTGGAAAGATGTTGATTTGCAAATGAAAAAAATACAGAGCTTCTTGCATAGATCTCCCTTTTTAGTGCAATAATATTTGGTATTTATGCTAGCAGTAGTATAGTGCTGTAGGCTTTTGCTGAGACTATAGCTGTTCAACAGGAGTAATGACTGTGGAAAGTATGGAAGCTCATAATTAGGTAGCAAAATGGCACATGCTCATGGCTACAGGAAATCAGACCCTCAACTATAGAAGCCACTAATGCTATATTCTGTCCATGGGATTATGCAGGTGACAAATGAAAGACCTCATGTGTCACCTCCTTGCAACTAAGGAGAGCAGGAACAATTTTGACTTCCATGAAGTAAAGGAAAGTAAACCTTGCATATGCCATTTTGTATTTCGGCAAAGGGCTATTTAGAAAGGCCCATCAATCCATCCATCCATCTAACTTAAAACATGTGCTGATCCTTCGGCTTCCAACATTTTTTACAGTCATATTTCTTAACTGGCTTTGTAATGAATTCCCTGAGCCTTGGCCCTGTCCTGCTAGCCTCGGTCATACATTAAAACAAAATACTGAGATAAATTGCATGGTGCAGAATTTATGGGACCATTTAAAATTATACACTCAAGACTGTATATGTGAGTATTGGGCCTCATCAGAATGCTGCTTCCTGGCCAGAAAGAGTCATCTGCCTTCATGTCTCCCATACAATGTGATTTTTTTTTTTTTGCATGCAGGGCAATTTTAACATTTACCAACTTAAATATCTAGTTACTGTCTTTTTATTAGTCATTTCAAGTTGGTTTCCAAAAAAATTTTAAAAAGCAAATCCAAAACCTTGTGCAAATAAAATAAACTAACAAAATATAACAACACAAAAGAGTTTTAAATGCTTAGGAAATAAAAACCTATTTGATTATTTGGATCAACATAATTAAGTTCTTTGCTGGATCCCTAAAATACAGCAAAGTTGACTCCAGGCATTCCTCTTGGCAGTGTCATTCTATACTTTGGACTCTGGTATTTAAAAAAGCCATCTCCCCTGTAATAGCAATCCTCATCTCCAATGGAGGCATACATTGATGACTTTAGTGTGCCGGAAAGGAGAAGCAGTTTGTACAAGTAAATGGTCCAAGCCCATGTAGGGATTCAAAAATAAGTGCCAGATAGATAACCTGTAAAATTCATTTAAAACTAGTGAGAGATAGCCTGAACAAGATGCATTGATCAGAACTCTGGCCACTTCATTCTGCACAGATTGAAACTTCTGAACCATTTTCACAGGCAGCCCAACATAAAATGCCTTATAGTAGCTCCCATAGTGAATTATGCTAGACTATAGTAACTATCACCAGGAAGAAGACTTTCAAAAGGATCTTGCTTTCAAATATGACTTTGACCACAGAGTTGTTAAAATTCAGGTCTATGACCCCCAGTAAGTTACAGTTATAGACCTGAATTTTATAATTATAATTCACTGGCATCATTCCAGTTGCAAGTACTTAAATCTGTATTTTGCTCTATACCTTTTATCTTAAGGATGGTGAACAGCTTCCCCTCTATAGGGTTGGATAGAGGAGGGATTCACGGGAATTCTAGAATTCTGTGTTTTGTGCAACAGAATTTAGATGCAAAGTTATAGATCAGGAGATCCCACCCTCGGGTCCTCAGATGGTCTTGGATTAAAACTCCCAGAATCCTGTGCGGGCCAGGATTCCTGAGAGTTGTCATCCAGGACCACTTGAGGATTGAGAACTCCTGTTATAGATTATAGGCTATAGGTTAACATTCTTTCTCTCCACTGAAGGCAGACTATAAGACCTTAAGCAAGTCACTAATGTTGAGGCCTGATTAACCATTCTAGTGAAAACAATGACACTGAGTGTTTTTACCCATATTGACTTCTAGATCCTTTAGCCTATGGTGAACTGTCTAAGAGCTGAAGAAGATCCTAAGGTAAACTGGTTAAGAAGGGCTGAATCAGTTCAGTCCAGCATTAACCACTTCCCACAGACACTTATGAAAAGCATATGTTCCTAGAGTGGCTGACCAGCTGCTTGTGGAACCTGACAACAATATTATGAGAGCAATACATGTGTTCTTTTACTTTAGAGAACCATATCCTGGTATGCACATATGTACCTCTAAAACTGGAGGGAATGTGTTCTCATTATGACTAGCAGCCACTCATAGTTTTCTCTTCAGTGAATCCTTCATGAGTGTCACTAGTGGCCAAAAAATTGCATCTGCCATGGCAAAGCTGCCATTTCCTTTTCCTCCTCCTCCTCACATCTCCCACAGTGCTTTGACTCTGGGGACTCTCATGGATACATATATTATATGGCCAGCTTTGCAGAATGGTCACACCAGCCAAGCAGCATGAAGTACAGCAGCAATGGTTCCCCTAGGCAGCAACTGCTCCTCTTTCTTGCCTTCTGATGGCTTGGTGTGTGTGTGGTTGCTGTGGCCACTAGCTCTGCATTTCTTCATTCAGTGGCTTGGTGTGTGTGTGGTTGCTGTCCCCCAGTGGCCACTAGCTCTGCATTTCTTCATTCAGCTCTGGCCACCATAGTTTATGGTGGTTCTACTATCTCCACCTCCTTCTCTGCCCAGCAGCATAGGTGTCGGTGTACCTGATCAGGAGGAGTAACAATGATGGTGATCTGACCCACATGCAGTAGAGGAGAGAACACCTTTTACCTTCTGCCTTGGGAAGGAAGAGAGCTTGCATGGAAGTATAATTCTTCAAGTCTATGAAAGCAAATTTACTTTCTAGGACAGTATGTGAGCAAGGTCAGAACCACTGGGCTTTTGGCAAAGCTCCCACCCAGTGTAGCAGGCCCATTGCCAATTTCTGTAGCTCCCTTGGCATCCTGGCTTGCTAGGGTTGCTGCTGGTTGCTCACCTGTGAATTTGCACAGAAAGGAGTGTGGAGAAGAAAGACTACTCTTCTTGTCCTCCTTCTTAAGCTTTGTCCTTTCTCTTTGAGATTGGGACAGAAGAAAAGTCAAGGAATGCACAACGACAGCAGTGGTGAGGGAAGTGGAGGTTCACCTCCATGGAGAACCCACTGGGAACATTTGATCCAAGGACACTTCCCCCAAAAACATTGGAAATGCCTCTATCTGTGATGACAATGAAAGGAAAAAGAAAAGAAAATAGGATGTAGGGAAATATTATGCAACCAAAAAGTATGATACAAGTGAATCACAAAACTAGGTTTTTTTTTCCTTTCCTGCCTTAAATTCTACCAGATATTCTCAACACCCATATGCAGATTTTGTGATTTGTCTTTAAGCATGTTATTATTTGGACAGGAACCAGAGAGCCAATTGCCTTTGCATTAAAGTTGGCATGTCTTTCAATTTTTCTATTTCCCCCCCCCCACACACACACACTAACTATATGGTAGGTAGATTACTCCAGAGAGGCATAGAGTTGATCTTATCAATTTGCATGACTTTCATTAATACCCATGGTATTATATCTTTTGTTGAGTATCCTTTTTCTATTTCCATCTGAAGAATCATCCCTTAAAACTACTCGCAGATGATGGTTCGAATGGCAACAAACCAGTGGCATCCACTCCAGTACCAGGATCTCCATGGTAAGTACATTTGGGCCAAGTGTTGTTAATTTATCTATTCTGTTACTATTGCCAAAGATCAGTTTGTCTGGAAAAGGGGGGAAACTCAGTCGTGTGCATCATGCAGTGTTTTATTGTCTTCTTTGAAAAACTGTTAATGTGAATTTCTATTTCTATTTTATAAAATTCTATTTAAAAAGGAAACACACATTTCTATTTGTAGATCACCTCCAATACCTAATCCTAAATCTTGCTAATATAAAAAATGTTCCCGAAGTCTATATTTAAACTGATGCAAGTTCACTTCTTCACCCCTTTCCCCAAGGCAGTTCCTCCCGTCCCTGTGAAATTGCTAAATAGAGGATGAAAAGCAGTGGCAGTCTATGAACTGAGTGGGAGAATCTCACACCTCAGTTTTAAAAAGCTCCCTATTCTCCAGTCACAAACCACCTACCATCAGGGATCCTGAATAAGTCATAGTGCAAGAGCATCAAAAATAGTATAGGAGAACAACTGTAAATGAAGCCCTTTCATCCCTATGGCTCAAGACCATAAGATATCTCACAGTTTGACTATATTCCAAACTTGATTGATTGATTGATTGATTGATTGATTGATTGATTGATTGATTGATTGATTGATTGATTGATTGATTTTGGTTTTTGCCCTGCCCATCAAGTGGCCAAAGCACTACTCTGGCCGGCTTACAGTAAGAGCATCCACAACATAAGCTAAGACTCAATAGTTAACAACAATTATGGCATTGAACAAAATAACAATACATTAAATCTCTAATTGGATACACAGTTGCAACAGACCAAACAATCAACCATAAAAATGTGGGTCATAAAAAATTACAGAGATTAAACAAGAATATTAATTGGTGGTACATCCCATTGAACTCAGTAACTCATGTACTATGTAAAGTATAGTGGGAATGCATTGTGAAATTACAACCCAGAGTGAAAAGTGTAGGTATATCTCTGAAGAAAATGTGGGAGATGGCTTATTTATATATTAACTCTATATCCTGCCTTTCTCCCACTGATGGGACTTATGGCAGCATTTAACAACTAAGGAGTACATTATTTATAGCTCAATAAACTGGGACATTGAAACAAATTTTAAAAAACAAATGTAAAATAACTGATCAGACAAATGGTGCATTCTCTAAAAACGTAGAATCCTGCAATTTCATCCAGAGACCTAAGGCCAGCTTTAAAAGGACATTTTTCACCTGCTGGCAAAAGGACTGGGGGTATGTGTGGATAACTTAATCTACTGAGGCAGATAAGGCCATGGACTGGAAATGTCACCACTCAAGCCCTTCCAAAATGTTCCTACACTGGTAGGATTAAGAGAAGGTAGTCCTCTGAAGAGCTCAAAGACTGGCAGGGGAGATTATATGGTGAGATACAATCCTTCGGATAGCCTGGACCCAAGCCCTATAGTGCTTTATAGGTCAGACTCGGCAGCATTTTGAATTGTGCCTGGAAACAGACTGGCAGCCAGTGAAGCTGTTGCAGCGAGGGAAAGATATTATCCCTGTAACCAACTCCAGGCAGGATCCTGGTCGCAGCATTTTAAACCATATGCAATTTCCAAACCCTTTTCAAAGGCAGTCCCATGTAGGGTGCTTTACAGTAATCCAAAATAGGATGTAACTAAGGTATGTGTCACTGTAGCCAGGTCAGACATTTCCAGGAGGGGGGGGGCAAGCTGGCACGTCAGCTTTAACAGTGGAAATGCAGTCATAGCCATTACCAAAGCCACCACTTGACTCTGGAGAAAGAATCTGTTGGCACTGTGCTAAGGCAAAAGACCTCAGTTCAGGAATTGATTCTAAACTTTCTCCACACATAGTCTGGCTCCATCCTTCTGATGGATTCTGTGGTTGATTGACATCAACCAACCCCATACTCTTGTTGACGTGACCAGGTCTGAGACTGATTCCAAGCGACACAACTTAAATCTCTCTCTCTCTCTCTCTCTCTTACACACACACACACCAGTTCAGGAATTGATTCTAAACTTTCTCCACACATAGTCTGGCTCCATCCTTCTGATGGATTCTGTGGTTGATTGACATCAACCAGCCCCATACTCTTGGTGACATGACCAGGTCTGAGACCGATTCCAAGCGACACAACTTAAATATCTCTCTCTCTCTCTCTCTCTCTTACACACACACACACACACACAGAGAGAGAGAGAGAGAGAGAGAGAGAGAGGGAGAGAGAGAGACCTCTGACAGACTTCTTGGTGGGGGAACAATCTCAAGCAGGGAAATCTGGCTGCAGATTTTAAGGGAAAACAAATGTGTCTCTTACCAGTTTCTCTCCAAGAGTGCAAGACTGCAACATTCACACCCCTACATATTCAATGTATTCTTTTGTTTCGAAGAAATATTAATTAGCCCAGGGTTGGGGCAACTGAGGTTGTTCCCATGTAGTTAAACGGCGATACAGGTTAGGACAGCCAACTCCATCTGGTAAGTCACACATTCCACATCAGCGTTAGATCAATGAAAGCTGTTCTATTCATTTTAATTCTACTATATCACCAGAGTGGAGGTGGCTTCTGATGCAGCATGTTGGTGGAGAGCCAAGAGAAGCTGTCTGCCTGCACCAGATGGTCAATATAGTACATTCTGACTATCGCTACAATTCTACACATGTATCATTAGAGGTTCATCCCATACGGGTTCATTGTGGATTTCCTCCATGTGACTGAATATAAGATTCATCCTATAACAAAAAGTCTGTTTGGGAAACAGACATGAGACTGATAGCATAGAGTTTTCTTTGTTTGATTTTGTTTGGCCGTCTCCTTTTTCTTGGTGTAAGATGCAAGGCACTTTGCAAGATAAATTAAATCAGGTAAAGTTAACAACACAATACTATAATATACTGTGTACACACAATTGAATAAGTTACAGTACATGGAAAACAAATATTGGATAGATATGTATGTTCAATGCTTGTTTTCAATATATTTATGTATGTATTGTTCTCTCTCTCTCTCTCTCTCTCTCTCTCTCTCTCTCTCTCTCTCTGTGTGTGTGTGTGTGTGTGTGTGTGTGTGTGTGTGTGTGTGTGTGTGTGTGTGTGTGAGAGAGAGTGTGTGTGTATCACCACAGTTAGAAGATCTCTTCTCTATGCCAGTCAGTAGCTAAAGGTCTTCTAAATAAAAAGTTATTGTACAGTTCTATGGTGTCCCCAAAGAAGAGATTGGCAAACTACCTCCATGTATTCTCTACCTGGGAAACTCTGAAAAGGGTCGCCATAAGTCACAATTGACGTGATGTCATATAATTACTTATAATTTTTAAAAAATCACTAGAACATGAAAGCTGCAGGTAAAAAAGCTTTAGACGTTAATAAGTGAAATACAATTGTAGTTTGTTAGTTTCAACTAAAATAGACATAGTGAATCAATGGGATTTACATATCTGTTGATTTACTATAGTATCATTGATTTAATTTGTCTTTTCTAATAGGACTAACAAGTGGATGTAGCCCAATAGTCAAAGTACGTAACTGATACCTACGGGACAAACAATTTCCTGTGATGTCAGCTTTAGTGGATGGAAGCCTGCTTTGCCAGATGCAGATAGAAATCAGTTTGTCACATGAAATAGTCAGAGTTTTTTTTATGGAGATGACTCTTGAACATGTTTCTGAGGATATTTATTCTGCAATGAGTCTCACTGATGTCAGTGGCCCTTTACTCCTAGTGAATGTGCTTCATATTGTGCTAGTTTTAAAAAACATTTGTAGACAAGATTCTACAATTCTCACCATTTTTAATTAGTGCCCTGTGATAGAAGAAAATCACCATAGTTTTGCATTTGAGTAATTGAAACCTTTATTATGCCAAATCGGGACAAGCAATGTGTGATGCTGTGAGATGAGTCTGATAATTTTTAAATTAAATGTCAAATTGGTTTAGTAATGGGAAAGTGAAGAGATTTCTAGAGGGAGCTGCCATTTGGATCCATTTTTAAGCACCTCTCTAGAGATGCTTCCTGGGCCCTTCCATCAGATGTGAAAATGGACCATTTCCATTTCAGCTATTACCTTGCTTTTATTAGATAAATGCCCAAGCTTCAGCTGGCCCAGTGGTAACGGTTAACACAAAGAATGCATTTGTAGCAGGAAATGATTTGTGCCTTCGTCCAGAGTAATGGAAAACAGCCTGTGATATAGACCAGAAAACAGGAGGGGGAAAATGAAGTTTGGAAGAATGAAAGAGTTCAAGCCAGCAATCCTGTACATTCTGATCCACAAGTAATAGGGCTTTCTTATTACATGCATACTTCACTCTGCAAATGAGATAAATAACCAGTATGTTTATTTATTTTTAAATTAATCTGGTTTGAAGTTGCATGCAGTTTCACTCAGAGCACATTTGGAACAACCCAAGCTGTGCATTTTGGCAAAATGTCCATTCTTTGACCCACAGGAACAAATTCCGAACATGCATGTTTTTTTCGTACGGCCAAATGCATTTTAAAATTATTGCTCTGGAAGACAATCTCCTTGTCTGTAAATAGAGGCTTGCTGACTTCTGTTTAGTAGATTTTGCATACCTTTGAATTTTTCATGAGCAGTCCTCTTCTATAGCAGACAAATAATATGCTAGGACATATGAAATAACTACCACTGCAGTTAAGGGAGCAGATATGATTAAGGAGGTACAAAACCCTTCTTAAATATTTCTGCAAAATGTGTTCCTTCAACAAAAGTGTTGTTTGTTCAGTACATCTCTGCAAAAGTGAATTTGTATTTAATTTTATATTAATTTGGAAGGATTACATTTTTACAGATTATTCTGAATCTTCACTCATCCACTAACCAATTCATTGTTGTGAATATTGCTCTTTATCATTCTCCATTGAAATGTCTCATTTGCCTGTTAAAAATGGTCAACCACCACAAGACCTTTTTTCTCCTGCATAAGACTGAAAAGATCATAACTTGGTTTGGTTTGGTTTGAGTTTTTTTTTATTTGCTTTTCTT